CCAATGGGAGGCGGCGGTTCCCGCGCGCGCGGCTCCTCGCGCCGCCGCTCGCGGAGGGGCGGGGCCCGCGCCGTGAGGGAGCGTGAGGGGCGGCGGGTCCAGAGCCGCCTCGCTCTCAGCCGTGCCCACCCTTAATTTCCACTTTGGCACCCCCGACCTCGCTTCTGCGGCTGGGGTGGTGGTACAGGGTAAAATATTAGACGTGCCTTCCGCTCCCAATTCGCTTATGGGCCAATCTGAGCCCGAGAGTTCAATTTCTCCCCTCACAAAGATGCGCGCTCGCTGGCCTGAGATGATACTGAAGCTTCAGATACACAGGTTTCACGCCGCTGCAAAAAGGACAGTTTTGGCCTATGGTTAGATAGCCCAACAGAAGGATCAAGTTCAAATTGATGAACAGGTGAGAACATTCTTAAATTAGTCCTTTCAGTTTTCTTTGAGATAGTCCTGAAATACATGCAGTAAACTACATTAATGTTGCTTCCCGTTGCAACATCGTTCTCTAAGAGAAGCTTAATTATCATTTAATTGTTATTTGTTGATATTATTAAATGCAGACATGATGTGGTGCAATATTAAGAGGTTACATAAATTCTTGTAACACTTGCTAAACCTGTGTACTGTAGTCTACTTCATGTTGTATATACACCTCCCCCATACACCAGAAAAGAAATATCTTAACAGAATTTGTTTATGAAATACAAAATACACTTTAAATATCTTTTTGAAGTTATCTAAAGTGCAACCAGCCTGAGGAATCTCTAGGGAGAAAGTTGGACACAAGTGTTCTGACACCAGAGGTTATGAAAAATGTTTGCAGTTTTGATACATCAGCATTCTCAAAGTATAACTGTGTAAATTCAGGAAATTAGTATTAAAACACTTTCACTTTTTTAATTTTATTTTGAAAAACTAATTCTGAAAATACAGCAAGGTTCCATCAAATAAGTGTGTTTTTCACATTCAATACCAGACTCAAATCTGGTAAAAAAAGCCAAGACACTTTTTATGTTCTCTTCCTCTCAGGCATGAACATGCTGGGTTCTGCTTTATTCTGCATAACAACTGATTAACTTAGCATGATGCTCCTCAAATATATCCCTGGTAGCAGAATTAAGATGTAAAACTCTTAACTTAATAATCCCTAACAGTATTCACGTGGAAGAAAACAGGCTTATTTGCTCACACAGCAAAACAATACAGGGGAAAGAAAGGCACCTTAGTTTTTCTGATAGAGTGGATTTATCTCTACTCAAAGAACTTCAAAATGTAAAAATTCACTGTGATATTGGCTAGCTTTCCTTTACTTGAAACTAAAGATAAAATGAAAAAGCATATTTGATGTCAATTAAAAATGACAATTTTGTACTTATCTACCTGTTAGGGCAAACACAGTTCATTCCAGAAACATATATTCTTCCTGGTTGCAACATACACAAATCACACCAAGACATTAGTTCAAAAATTTTAATAAAATATATCCAGATACATTTCATTCTCTGTCCAGAGGTACACCGTAAATTTCAAATAAATACATGTTTTTAAGAAACTGGGGGAAAAAAATTGAGCCACAGAAGTTGGTATTGAATATATAACTGAAAATCCAGTTTGTTAAATTTGTCAGAATTAAGCAAATCAGTCCTACCATCCACCACTTAACATAACCATCGCCAATTATAAGACACTAAAATATTTACAATAAATAACTTACATGAAGTAAATGCTTTACAGTTTCCTGAATCAAGTGAGTAAAATCAAGAGTACCAATGCAAATTGTGTATAAAATAATTCCTTACAGAAAAGGAATTATAGGAGGAGGCAAAACATGCAATAGTCTATTGCATACCATACTTGAGAAACAGTACGTACACACACCTACAGACGCCAATACAATCTTAATTTTCCTTTCTGCGTGAGGTTGGATGTGGTCCACACACCTAAATGCAGCAGCATGCAGTCTTCTTTATCACCATGGTTTAAGGTAAGTAAAAACCTGATTACGCCAGCTAGTACTGGGAAGTACATAACCTACTCAGCCTTGAATAAACCAAATCAAGAACGTTCAGCTCCACAGAAAAGCTTTCCAAGATTAGGCCCCTACAACCTGCCACAAGGATATCTTTTTCCCTGAAAAATTCCCCCCTGCTTTTATTTGTGTAGTACAGCATTTCTTAGAATGTATGCCAAGAAACTGGTTTCCAAATTGCAAGATTTCTAATACTGCTAAATACATCCTGCTGATTCTAACTGAAATGGCTGAAGAGACTTTCCTGTGTAGCAGTTTGAAGACAAATGCATTGCTCTTGCATACAGAAAACTTGTACAGAACACAAATAAAAGGCTGCTTACAGTGTGATCTGCCAAGCTCAGCTTCTGCAGACCTGGCAAGGATCTGAATGCCAAAAATCATGGCATTATGTTCAAATCAGTTTATTCCATTTGACTTTTAAATAACAACAGATGCCTTATTAGTAGCTTAAAAAGCAGCATAATCAGCAGCATTTAACTCCTGGAATGGTGATAAAGCTAAATAACTAACAGCTTGGAACCCGTATAAAACATGGGTGTCATCTCCAAAACTGTGTCATTCCTAAAATTCATCTAATGAAGCCTAGAAGATCAAGTGCAAAAAAAAGTGTTTGGAGCTAGCTAATGTTTATTTTGATGTGTCACCTGGTTTTGACTCCAGGAAATTAACTGCATTTTGGCAAATAAAGATGTCAGACAACAGCAGGTCCACAGTAACAGAAAGCTTTTTTTAAGCTTCAAGTAATTTATTCATCATTTGATGATTGATATTGTAGTTTTGATGTTGTAAGTTTTTTAGTCTTCTGAAAGAAAGAATCAGTTGAGGTGCAAGAATTGTTTCATAAGTTCATATGTGGTAAAAGCCACAGCCTGGGAAGGAATACAACGAATGTAATTTAAGGATAAACCACGGTACAGTCCTCTTCGTACTCCATGTTGTTGATACACATACTTCAGTGTCTGCACCATTGTACTGGAAAAATAAGAACTCAAATCATTAGTGGATACACATATTCAGTATCAAAATAATTTTCTTTAATTACAAGACACTTTTTTACTTGGGTTTTAAGAGACCCACGGAGAAAAACCCATGGCATTTCACACAGCAAAGCCACATATGACTAAAAAGACAAACTTGCGCTTCCTCAAGGAATCTGAGCCCAAGGGCTGGGAACTGGAAAGAGGACAGTGCAGTCTCAGCTGAACAAGTGTCAGTCTGAAAACACCTACCCTACAATACATATTAAGGTGTTTTACAGCAGAACAGTCTCTTGCCTAACTGGCAGGAAGGGGCTGAGAAGCATCAATTCTTTTTACAAATAATAATCTGATTATATAATATCTGACCTTATTAAAAGCAGAAACTGCACTGTATACGCAAAGAGACCTTTCCTCACATACTTGCATTGAAACTAAGCAAACAGATGTGAAATGGAAAGCACTTAAGGTGCTTGGTATTTCCATGCTATTGAAGACAGTGCTCTTGGAGAGCATCTCCCATATGTTCCAAAGCTTTGAGGCTTCCTGCTTGCTTTTTCCTCTCATCCTCTAAAGATATACCTGTGTCTGTACCTTCAAAGCACAGCTCTCTATACAGTCACAATAAAATTGTTAAATTGGGAAGCCTTAGGTCTATAAAAATAGTCCTCAAGAATGCAAAAACTAAACCCCTGAGAACAATGAACATTTTTATTTTAAAAGTATCAGGAATGGATAATAGCAAAATTTAAAAAAAAAATGGCTGGTAAAGAAAACAGAACTTCTTCACAGTTAAGCAACATTGAGGTTGTTTGTGAAAGGTCACTCAGGCTGTTCTTGGTAGGATCCAACTTTCCACACAGGAGGTTCACAGTGAATTGCATTGGATTCAGACATACACAATTCCACAAGATTGAAACTAACCAAAACTATCACAGAATTGAATTTGATTGAGACAATTTGAAATTTAGAAAGATTCTCAGGATGAGAGCTGATTTAATACTATTAAGATTTTTAAGGTATTATGGTGCTTCCACTTCTACTGGAGGAACTTCAGTGTGTGAGGTGTAGAAAATTACTGCAAGTGCAAAAAAGCTCAAATAAAATTGTATTATTCAAAATCATCTTATGGAACAGATTCTGCACCATTAAAACACACTATGAAACCATTTCATTTCAGTAGAAGCATTCAGTCTCTTTTTCAGAGATCTTTCTGATATTAAAGATAGCACAAATCGCATTAAAATACAAAAAAAACCACATTTTACTAATACAAATACAGGATTTACTAACAAGGGTGCCATTGTTATATTTCAGGTACTTTTTTAATCCCAGATTGATAATGTCAGCTTTTGTCTGTGGGGAAACTTTTTTATTAAAAGAATGAAGAAATCAACAACATAGTAGTTCAGAGGGGTGGTGATTTTCTTATTCTGAAAGGTTTAAATTAAGAATTGAGCTTAGCTCAGACATCCAAGAACTCAGTTAGTAGAGATGCAAAGGAAATACCTACAGGCACTTCTCAGAGTCTGGGAGAACCGCTCCCAACTGCATTCGCCTACGAGTTACATCCAGGGGATATCTGCAGAGAAGATATTTAAACAGCAGTTCAAGCAGAGGTGTGACAACTGCTTGAATATTGTTTACACAATAACACTAAGGAGTCCACCTGCAACCTCCAAGCTCCCCTTTCAGTGAGTCAGGAATCCAGCTTAGATTCTCAACACAGCTGAAAGCTCTCCAAAAAGGGAGGCTCCCCTTAGACAAAACCAGCAAACCAGAGCTCTTAATATATTCCATTTGGAATTAGTAAGGAAGACACATGAAGATCAGATGAGAGTATAAAACAGTCTGCAAAATGCTGAAGGGAGAAGACACCAGCATTGAAAATAAAATTAACAGTTTAAGGATTAATAGGCAATTTTATTTGCAATGCAGTGATTTAATGAAAAATCCATTAAATTAAGGCCATTAAATTAACTTATTTTATGGACAAAATAAAATAGAACAAGAACAGGTGAGAAAGGAAAAGCAAAATAATAAAAATACCAAAAACACTATCTGAAAGTCTATCAAAGCAGACTTTTTTGCTTTGATATTTTTTTTATTCCTATGGCTTCATAGGTCACATAGATCTGAAAGTAAATTGGAATAATGAAATTGTGCAAATTATGTTCAGGGTCAAAATTTTTTTATCTTTACAAACAAGCTAAGAAACAAGATTGTTACTAAAAAACATTCCAGTGGATTTTAGGAGATTTGCCTGAATTTGTTTAATTGACTCACTGGATAACTCTTAAAAGACCCTGAAGATTAAACAGATATTTAGTAACTGCAACAATAGGAAATACCTGAATTTCAGTATTTCATTTAAGAACCTTACTAACAATCAGA